TCAGCTGAGCACCACGGACACCTGCGGGCTTCTGCGTGGGACTCTGAGGGATCCTAGAGTCACCTGACCCGCATTCAAGGGAGCTGCCTTAACTCTTCCAAGTATCGAACAAGTTAGTAGTAAAGTAACTAAGACTGAGACAGGGAAATCACAAAGTGATCAAGTTTATCATCACGTAAAATGCACACACTAAGTTTGTGAAGCATGTATCCTTTTGAGCAAATGAAGGTCTTAAACATACAAATAGAATCAGAGAAAACACCAAATATACAATGACTTATGTTTGCATGAAATGGTATTAATTTTGACTAAGTGAGAATGTAGGAAACAATGATCAGAACAAACACTGGTAATTTAAATTAAAACAACATAAATATAAAGTTGTCCTTAAAATTATTTTATTTTATTTTATTTTATTTTGAAGAGTAAAAAAAGCAAGGGCTGGCGAGATAGCTCAGTGGACTAAGTGCCTATTTAGGCAAGCACAGAAACCTGGGTTTGTTCCCTGGCCTCGTATGTCACGCCAGCCCCACCCAGGGGTCACTGAGCTAGCCATTGAGATCAGGCATGGCGGTGCACACCTGTAATCCCAACACTGGGGAGGATGAAAACAGGAGCATCATGAGTCCAAACTGCATACCAAGACCCTGAACCAATCCAAAATAAATAAATAAATAGGTAAAAACAAATAAGAGATACAATGACAGAAACAGGGTAACATACAATAATACGCATGTTACAGATTGTCAAAACAAGAATAGGAAATTAACAATGGTTGTTATATTACATATTTTTATCGTTAAATCTGTTGCTCAGATTAACAAATATAGCTTTGCAAGATTGGACAAATAATTAAATATTGTCCTTAAAATCTAATAAAATTTATAAAACCATGGGAACACTGGAAAGGAAAACTCTAGATTAAACAGGTACAAGCAACACACCTTGGGGTCTATACACAGAATGGGGCTGCCCCAGGAATCAGGGCTTCTTGAATAATTTACATCATCAGTGAACTTGACTGCAACTACAGAAAAAGGAAAATTGTGTTCACCGGAACGGATCAATAAGAGTGCTATAGAAAGTCACCAGGTGCTCAAAATGTCAAATCACGGGACAAGTGCTCAGCTGAATCAGAAAGTAACTTACAAAACCTGAAAGAAGCTTCCTGCTAATGGAGAAAAATTGATATCTTTGCCCCAAGAATTAAGGCCAGAAAGAGCTGTGTCTTTGGGCTTCTGCTCAGCATTTCTCTGGGGACCCTAGCGAGGGCATGAGGACAAGATGAGGTCAACAAAACAATGACAGTGATGACAGAGTCAGCTAAAGAAGAAACTGGCTTTTCATAAATTCACAAAGTCATTGTGCAAAGGCAGCTTGATTGTGTACATAGAAACCAGAACAAAAAGCAGGAGAAGGAAGACAATAGACAGCAATCTACCGGATGCAAAATTAAAATGCGTTACTGCAAACATTCGTGGACATCAGCAGAGCAGACAGAGAAATCCTAGCCGAGGACACAGAGGAGCTCCTCAGCCTGCATTCCCAGGAAATCTGAGGGTGGGGGGAGGGGAGCGCGCACACAGTGAGGTGTTAGGAAGTTTTCTGGGGTGAGAAGAGAGAGTGTGGAATAGAATGAAGAGGACAGAGAGGAAGTTAGACCAAGAGCAGGTGGGGCATCAGCCAGTTCCCAGGACATGAGCTAGGACAGCCTCCCGGGGGACAGCAACAGAGGGAAAGTTCACTTCAGAAAGCCATGTAACAGACAGCACGACTCAAGGAGAGAGAGCCTTAGTAAATGACAAGCAGAACCAGAGAGGAAGGGAGAGGGAGAAGACGGGCAGTAAAAGAGTTATGATATGATGAGTACATGTAACCACCCCCACAGTGAATTTATTTATTTATTATTGTGAAAAACCACACCTCAGAAAAACACTTTAACTTCAGCCTAACAGCGCCAGGTATCTGGGGACAGACT